TGTTTTCTTTTTATCTATTCCAGACTCTGTTCTCTTTTTTCCTGTGTTTATGAAGCCAAGTGCCTCTAATAGTACAATGATCTTCTGTGGTAGGGAAGCAACCACACAAAGACGACTACAGAAATAGACTGCGTGGGATTAAAACATTGATTAAACACTAGAAAAAAAGAAAGAAAAAAAAAACTTGGTTGAGCATGCCAACCGAGTCATGGTAAAGTTCAGTGCTGCATTTCTAATGTAAAGTCCCTGAATTTCTTGAGACCATACCCCACTTAGCTGTTCTCCCCCCATGGGTGTTAGGCCTTAATTTGTGTTAATACATCTGTTTATGAGTTGTTTTTCATGAGACTGTCTTTGGATCCACATACAAATCTCCAACATCTTGAAATATACAAAGGTAAAATGTCCTGAGCATCGGACAGCTGTGTTGCCCAGGTCGGAGACTGTGGATCAGCTCTGATGGGACTGTAATTTGCTGACCTACATCTGCTGACAAGTTCAAATCCCAAACCCTTTGCTGCGAGCTGTCCCAACTCGAGTCTGCTCAAGTGATGACTCTCTCCTGACTTGTTAACTGCCACATATAAAGTCAGTTTTATTTCCGCTGTGCTTCTGCCAGGGGATCCAAGCATTCTTTATGGTCCACTGCTTCATGCAGCTGTCTCTGATTCTTCTGCCTTTTTTCCCCACCTAGCATCAAGATGTTTGGAATTTTGCTTTTAGACTAAATGGAAACGGTGTATGAGATAATGTATTGCAAAGTCGTTAATAGTTTACTTTTTGTTTTCCCTTGGGGAAACATTTGCAGAGATTTGTTCCATATGAATCCTGGTTCAGATTTGCTCTTTTTTTTTTTTTTTTTGCAAAATCATAAACATAAATGTTATACAAGTAGACAGAGAATTTCAGTACCGTTAGAGGTAACTGTATTTGTTTTTGGTTCAGTTTGCATGTTTCCTAAGCCATAACAAGGTTTTTTTTTTGGGCTACCCTGTAAAGCCTGGAACTTAACGCTACTTTAGACATTTTTAATTAAGAAAAGTTTCTGGGTGGGAAGCGAAATGTCATCGAACTTGGAAAGGAAAGTCCAGTGTTTTTTTTTTTTTTTTTTTACTTTTTTGTTATGTCAGGTTGGCACAGATTGACACATCAAATCCTGTATGCTTCTGAAAAGTGAATAGTGGGTGTGGTGGTGTAAAGATTTTTTCTAAGCCCTTCCAAACTGATCAATTTGATCGACTGCAATCCAGACTTATCTGCTCATGAATATCATTAGACGGGACAAGAAGTGTTGCTTTTGGCAATTGATTTGCCTACTTGTTGATTTGAGCTGAGCTCTATTTAAGGAGTCCTATGATCCTGCAGATCTAACAGATCTACGACTGGCCGTATCTGCAAGAATTGAGCCAAAAACTGGCTAATCACATTTGATAGATGGCTTAACAGGAAGAGATCATAGGTTTGAAAGAAAACTACATATACAGCTGCATTTGTATTTACACAGGTTATCTTTGTCTGATGATATATAGTCAGTTGTTGATCTGTTTTATTTAAGAAGGATCTGTGAGGGAGTGAATACTTTTTGCTTCCTTCGGTATAAACGGTATTTTTACTCCAGGAAGCAGGGTATTTCCTTGGATAACAAATATTATTGAAAAAGTAAATGTTAGGGTTGGGAAATTTAATCGCAATTTAAGAAAATGCAATATTTAAATCGCAGAGGTACCCCCAGTTGTTATTGGGGTATGTTAGCATACCTTTTCCTGACCCTAGATCTGTAAAAATCCTAAAAAAGGTAAAGGGAAGAAGGGTAGGTCAATCTTTACAATCCTATTTGTAGACATAACTGAATTGGTGATGATGTATTATCACTGGATTATGATAAAATATTTGAAGTAGGAAGAATCCTCACACAGCTTTAAAGACTTGTTAAGTATCAGAAAAAAGACTTGGACCAGTTGGTCAATGCAGACCTCCAGGCAAAGGGGAAAATACAATGAGGTCCTCCATTTATTCTGTGACTTGTTTACATCAGGGGAATGGTTTGTATGCGTATTAAGGAGAAATTATAAAATGGAAGATTTATAGTAAAAAAAAAGTTAATTTCCACATTATGTGGTAGACAGGGTTGCTGCTTCACAAACAATTATTAGCAACACCTAAAGAAAGAGACCGTGGTCTTGCTAATCGTAATTAGAAATAGAATGGTGTGTCTACAGTTAATCACTGGTAAGTGCCAAACATTTCTTTTTTTACTTTAACAGAGAAAATATCAGCTGGGAAAATCTTAAATTTTGATCTAGCTGTGTAGGAATTAAGTGGCACCCTTCTCCAGTTGCGAGGTGCAGCCATATTTATAATGATTGCTGGACGTTTACACTGAAAGTGTTGTCGATTTCTTCTTCTTTGCATATTATGTGAAGACCAAGAGAAGGGTAAACAAAGCGAAATCTAAGATTGGTAGATCTAGTACCTAAATCTAATTTAAGGTCTGCTGTTTATCTTGTACCTTGAGAGCTAGGCCTATTGCTAACATTGATGAATAAGAAACTCAAGGCCGACTTTCAGCGATTTCATTAGACTTCTGATGTTTGTACTTCAGTAATTGACTGTGAACATCTGGAGCGCTGCTACCTTATTAAGATACTGTTGTTATAACTCTGAACACTAATATTTTACGAAAAAGTCTTCAAAAATATATATTAAACCAAGATAGTACAAGCCATATTTGACTTAATAAATAAACTTAAACATTCAGCATTTAGGTTTACTATTAACATTTTTAAAATGACAGATAATTGCAATTGTAATATAATAGTTGCTTAATCCACAAAATTCAACCTGCCTCCTAGTCTAGCAGGTGTAAGCAAGGTTAGGTACACCCTGGTCGCCATTGCGCAGCATTTAATATAGTCCATATTTATCCTTTAGAGCTAGTCCTACATATGTTAACCACATTGGTATTTATTTGAGTCTGCATTTGTTTTGTTTGACTCTACAATACTACATATATCTTTAAGATTTTTTTAACATAAAATACCCTGACTACTTTCTTATCTTGGCAATGCTAATAGATCAGATTTTGTGGGGGAGAAAGCTTTGACTGTAGATTTGTTAAGTTGGTTTGATGTTTAGAAGATAGATATTGGTTTTTATTTTGTTTTTTTTTACAACAATAACTTTACATTTTAAAAGATGTTTTTGATTAGGAACCTTGCCGAACAAAGATCCAAAATAATAAATACATTTGAATATGCTATCTTTATCCATTATATTTTTATGGGCTGGAGATGCAGTTGTGATACCTTTGCTGAATAATCCAATGACGATGTTGATGATTATAGATTTCCTTTAGAACCAGTCTGACCGTATGATCTGGTTGAATTGTCTTTGCAAAGTAACTCGAGATGATATGTGTTGTGAGTTAGTGCTATATAAATAACTTCAATTGAAATTAATTAAATTCATTTACATTTTTCTGATATATTTCTTCCGTTTTTTAAACTTTATGGGTTTCTTTCTTATATCCCCCATTATATATGTGGAATAACTTAATTTGGGTTATTACTCTAGCAAAGAACATTCAGCTGAACCTATGAACCTTTCTTAGCCTTCTTCAAGCTTTTCTCAAAGAGTAACAATGAATGAGTGATTTAGAAAACAAAATGGGCCCTCATCTTTTCAGAGTCTAATGCATGCCAACTCTTAAAATATATATATATGCTTTAGTCAAACTTTTAGCCTTAAATCATGTTTGCCGAGTAACCTTTGTTATTAATGTAATTAGGCTTTATCTCTTCACAATGGGCAACAATAGTAGCTCTTAGCAGGTAGACACTAAGAGGCAGCAGGAGGGTGCAGTGCAGGAGAGCAGAACCGAATGCAGTTTGAGCAGCTTTGTGCTTGTGCAGAAGAATGCATCTCATACCTGTCACACTTTTTGGTTCATGCATTAATGTCTTTTGACTTCATAGAGCCTTTTTTTCTCATCATGGTCACAGAAGGCGTACATGCCTCTGCATAAATCTGCCCGAATCAGTTTCAGAGGAACATATTTTGTTTTCCAATTACCTGCCGACAGAACTATGGGCAAGCCACCGTGAACAATTTACAGACTCTGTATTCGAGCAATATTTTACAAGGCAAACAGCTTATTATCTCTTGCATTAGTAATTCAGGGTATTGTACATGGCTGTGTACATTTGTTTACTGCACCAATGTAAAACCTTAAAACTTTATATTTGTAGCTTGCATGATTGAAAAAAAATGAGTTGCACTCTGTGAAGAGTAAAACTTTATATGGCTTGTGTAATGACCTATACACATAAAAAAGATGCATGTTGTGCACATCAAAATTCGTATTTTTTTTTGTAATACATTCTTAAAGGAATAGCAAGAGAGGGCAGGAAGTTAATGAGAGTCAGTATGATGAACACATAGCAACTGGCATCAACAGCAAAAAATGTAATTGCTTAAATTTGCTGTACGGGTAAATGTCTCAGCTAAATGCAAAGGACCCCCTATATGCGTAATTTGTTGCAAAAGCTGTTTTTTTCCGAGGCGGCTGGAAATTATTACTGACACTAATAAACTGCTATGCATACATCTTTTCTAAAGCTACCTTGCAGAAATCCGCTTCTCGACAGTGGCAATAAATAAAAGCTGTCAAGAAATAAAACTGAAGCAAAGCGATATGGGCTGTATATAAGAAAACGGTACATTACTAGACTTTTTTGAGAATGCTAAATATTCCATATAGAAGAGAACTTGGAGATACCATTACTTTAAAATAATAAAAAGTTTTCCCACCAACTCAAATCCATTGAAATGTTGTATTGTCTAATTTCTATAGGCATATTTTGAACAAACATCAAAATCGTTAGTTTTGAGTCCTGTAAGCACTGTTATTGTAGATTAATGTCGCTGAAGACTGATCTCTTGCTGATATCATCACTCTATATGTTGACCCGTAACTTCATGTCTTTCTACTCTGTCCTTAGAATAACAACTACCGCTGCCTGCATGATGGATTTAAGGAGGTACCCTCTTGATGAACAGAACTGCACTCTGGAAATTGAAAGCTGTAAGTTTTTCATATTTCACTGAACATTTTGTCTCTTCGTTCCAAATGATTTTTATTTTCATGAACCCATGGAAGCGTATGACATGATCAGTATGAAGCTCATGTTTGTGGCTGAACCACATGTAGTCATTCTACAGTTTGAGGACGCCAGTTTAACAAATGTTCAGCGCAAAATATGTCAGACTTTGTTAGACAGGATAGCATGGCTTTGAGGATTGTGCAAACTTTCATTGTGTCTGGCATTTAAATTCCTCTTTGGGCTCTTAGGACAAAATCACCAACAACCGTGTATGAGCTTTGCTAAGTTTTATCTGATCATTTTGGATCAAAGTATTTTTTCCTGTTTAGAGAAGCCATTTAACATAACTGTGATGTTTTTAACAGCTTGAGAGAGCCCCCACATGGATGGGGAGAATATTCCAATTCCATACAGAAAGAATCGAACCAAGAACCTACAAACTGCACCACTGTGCAGCCAATGTTTATTTAATGCCAGTTCATTTCTATAACTTTGACTCAAAAGACATTTCAAGACGTTTCACAAAGCCAATTCAATCGCATCATACAAACAAATTGGTTACAATTTACTTATTCGTATTCACATTTGACACATTTGGTCTGCCTTTAACAGGCCAAAATTTCTTTCCCCCCTTGGTCTGGAACTTTTGTGTGGGTATGAAAGCAGCCAGCAAATTCTGGTTCAGACCAAACAAATGGACCAAGACCCTATTTTCAGGTAGTCATTGTTCTCTTTCAAATGGACTCTGGTACTGTTTGCTACAGGTTTAGATATAAACCGCACTTGGTACAACCCAAATGCAGAAAGAATGCATCTCTTTGTACTTAGCAAGCCACTATGGTAGTAATACGAAATTATAGTTGTTATGCTGTCTGTTGCTTAGCAATGCGGCTGCTGGCAAGTGTTTGATCTCCCTTGGCTTGTAGGTTGCATTCTCAGACAAAATCTAAAGTCTCATGACACTCCCAATGGTTTGGCAGCTGTAATAACAGAATAAACTAGCTCCATACTAGGTGCCTTTGTCCAGGAAAGATGAGCTCTGCTTGAAAGTATAGTTCTGCCTCATCCCTTAAGCTCTTGAAGCATCAAATAGGTTTTATTTTAGTATTGCTTGTATAATGTTTATTTTCTGCCACATTTGCTACATCCCCCCTGTACGGCCTGTGTCTATGTGAAAACAGGACTTCTTGCTTTATTCTAGCAATTAACTTTTTCTGTATAGGCCAAGGTTACAGTATGGGCTTCACAAACTTTTCACATTAAGTTGACAGATTTCGCCAACATGACTGTGTATTTCTGAAGCTCCTCAAGAGATAACTAGAGTCTCTTGGCTTCTTAACCAAATTACTCTTAAAAAAAAAAAACATAAACCAGAATCTAAATATCACTGTTCCTAAAAAATATCCATCCATCCAGCTCATACCCTTCACCAATATAATAGAAATTCTTATATAGTGGCAACTCTACTTTGCTTTTTCCTGATTGAAACCTAAGCTAAAAACTTACCAAACTAGTTTTAAACCCAAAGCTTTAAAACCTAAGTATATACTGAGCTGTGCTTGGATGAAAGAGGAATTGGCTGCAAATGTTTTATTTTTGGGTCCTAATATAAAAGGATTGTAACTTTTTTTTTTTTTCTTAAACTTTATTTTGCCAGGAAAAAAATAAATCCATTGAGAAGGATGCCCTGGCAAAGCACAATGTAAAAGGCAAACAAGCCATTACATTTACAAAAATGAGCAGTATTTTAGGATCACTCACACCCCCAAAAAAAACAAAGCATAAAATAATAATACACTAAATGAAACACTTAATTGTTTGTATTTTTTTTTGCTAGATCGTTAACAAAAACAACAAAGTATTAAACAATTAAACCGAGAGATTAAAACATTTAAATGTTAGTGTTTCTGTAAGTGTGTCTGCACCTAAATATGTGTGAAAGATTTGTCTGAAACCTCTGATCGTTTGCTTGAAAATAGTTACAGAAATTAAAAGTTTAATCTCAACTGCAGATGACTCTAAAACCATGGGCCAAAATAAGACAGACCTATCTTTCCTGACTCTGTATGGACATCATGCAATTTGTATAAAGCTCTCATCAGCCTCCATAAGATAAAAGAGAAGAAGTTAAGCTTGTCAGATATTTGATTTATATAGGGTTAGAGGAGCAGGTGCACCCAAATAGCCTATAGTGGGTCCTCCTGGCTCATTGTGACCAGATCTGACAAAAACGAATCCCATCAAACAAACTGGATATGTTTTGTTAAATAGGTTTTAATCCATCTAACCATATTTTCACCAAAGCCAAGTTTTATTATGACGGGGATTGGATGACAGAGGTCCAGAGAGTAAAAAATTAACCTCAAACAATTTTAAACAAGCATGCTTCAATATTCCTGTGCTGGTTTAGTTTGTAACATGACCAGATTTAAAGAAGATTAATGTACATAAAAACCATTGAAAGGCACTGTAAGAAATGTATTTTTAAAAAGTTTCCCTGTCAGTATAAGTATTGCTGAACGTGAACTAGGTGTGTCTTGTAAGCCTGAAGCATTGTGAAAAGGACGAATAATTTAAAAGGCCTCATTAATCCATTAATACCTTAAATAAATGCAACTTATCTCTGCATTGTTCTGGGTTATATTATATATGTATGCAACTGTTTTAAAATCAACTGCGATTGCTATAATATGTAAATGTCCCCGCAAGTTTTAAGTATCGTCATGAAATGTCCTCCCATTTACTAACTCAACACTGAGTTTTCCAAACTGTAATCATAGATTAATATTTTCTCAGAACCACTGAGGAATAATGCCTCAAGACATTTTCAGGTTCAGGTGGATAAATCGTTAATTTTTCAAGAAGAAAAAGCTTGTTTTGTAATTAGAAACTGCATTTGTGTGATCATTTTCAATGATCACGCCATCAGTCATGCAGACTTGCTCAATACGTCAGATTTTTTCTGGTACAGGCTATTCAGCATGAGAAGTGCAGACTGCTACCTCTGGGGCGCTGGAGTAAGCAGCAATGAAATATAGACAGGCCATGAATTAAAAAGTTGCAGAATATCTGCTGTTTATCCTCATGGAGGGCTTTGCACTAGTGACTGGTGCGCATTAACCACGGTTTGATGGATTAGGCAGTCAGTTGCTTCAATTTCATGGACAATGTCACATTTTCTTACTCTATAACCTCTCAGAGAGATTTAATAGTAATGAATCCTAGTCCTGTAGTAGGTTTAATGCCACACAGGTCTGTATGTAGGGCTGCGGATGTGATATGTGGTAACACTTACCCCGATTGAGAAAAAGCTCTGCATCAAGTGCGTGCTAGCTTATTCTCATAAATCTACTGCTGTAGTCACTTTCAATTGCATTGCCAGTAGAGAATGCATGGCAGCGTTGTTGCATGTGACACATGTTAATGAATATTCATGCTGGTCGTAATACATGCAGTGATATAGCTTCATGGGAGTCTGGAGAGTGGAGCATGCAATTGTAGCCTGACAGATTTAGGTCTGAGCTTGACCTGTTCTAGAAAATTGTACGCATTGGATGGTTTGTGTTTCCCCAGCGCTCCTTTAATTCCACTTTCCCGCAACTATGAACATTTAAAATGATAAGTGCACAATGATTGCTATGAGAATTATATTGATATGACATCATGGTTTAATGCTATTAAAAGTTTGCCATAGAGGAAAGCAGGGGCTTTATTTTTATTGGTATTTTTATTATGTAACTAAAATAATATTTATAACTACCATCCATTGGTCATAAACATGCATGACTTACATCAGTCATATAGAGACTTTTTTTTTCTTACCAGCTATCTCTTCTAAATAACTCTAAATGACTCAGGGGTCACCAACCTCATTAGGACATAGGGTAGCCCAATACTGACTTATGAATTGGAGGATAGATAATAAACTTATTTCTTTTTTTTATTTTCATTTCTAATTTGCTTTAAGTTATTGCCATTTATAAATCCCTATAAATACTTAACTGTTTTAAATAATTAATATGAGAAAATACTCTATGAATGATAAACAATAAAAGAAGCAGCATAAATAAAATTTTAAACTTAGTCTAATGGGGAGTTGCTCTTTTTCAGAAGATGCTGAGGGCCCCGTATGGTCCTTCAGGGCCCCTTGGTGCCCACGGGCACCACTCTGGTGACCCCTGCTCTAAGACATTGTCAAGCAACACAAACAGTTGGCTTTCCTCGCCAAATCCTGGCTTTGCTCTGAGATCTACTCTAGGTGGCTTCCAGCCAAAGCAATGCCTTAGAAAAGGCCCCCTTCCAGATGGAACAAACCTCCTCTATTGGTGTCTTTGGAAAAATATTTGGAACTGTGACTCTACTCTGAGTTCATCTCAAACCAAACAATGCTCAATTTTCTGTTTTAATGGGCAACCTTGACAAATAGCCGAAAGTTCCTGCAGCCTTGTTCTTTTGTTTGTTATTCATCGTTTATGACCAAAAGCTAAGTGTTGGACTGTAGCTCTACTGGCTCCACCAGCAGCGTGTGTATTTTAAAGTTCCTATTTTACTTTAAATCTTTGAATTACCTTACGCTGCCTTACCTCCCTGCGCTTCCATCCCAACTTACCCCATCGGCACCACAGGTCAGCTGCTCAGCAGCTCTTGCCAATACAGAGATGAGGGAAAGGAGGCACCTTATTTCTGAAAGAACCCTTCACATTAGAGGCTCATTCATTGTGTACTTTAAAAAAAAAACCTTTATTCCATAGCTTTCAACATTGTTGAGACTTAGTTTGAACTTGTTTGTCTTAAATTATTTTCTCTTTGCTATGCCTTATTTATATACTGAACATACTGTATATCAATGAAGGTTTTATAGTTTGGATTCATGTCCAATGCTTTGTTTTAGCTGTAAATATGTATACTTGTTCCCTTCCTTTTGAGGCAGCAGGACATTATTAAGGTCATCATCTTGCACTCAGCTACAAACTGCTCCAAGCCTTTCTTAGGGTCCTCTTTGGATAAGGTCAGAAGGAAGAAATCATTTGCATACTGCATAATTTCGGTAATGTTACAGGTACAAAATTAGTATAAAAGCTGGCAGCAATGGTTCAAGACATACTGTATAAGACCAATTTAAGTGAAATGCTGATTTTAGCTCTAAATAAACATTTCTCATCCCACACGGCTAAAAAACCGGCCACACCATGGAAGCCCGTCAGATTGCAATCTCTATCTTCAACATAGAGTATTTACCATAACTATTCTTTAATCAGCCTATAGTGTTTTAAACAGCCAGCTATGTGAAAACCACCAAGCTTTACCGATAAAAGATTCAATGTTCTGATGTAATTTCCATACTCAAGGAACAGATAAAGCCTTCATCATAAAGTAATTCCCCCTTCTTCTTTCTCTTTTGATTTGTTTGCACTCTAACACAGATGGATATACAACAGATGACATCGTATTTTTTTGGCAAGGAGACGACAATGCTGTGACCGGGGTCGACAAGTTGGAGTTACCTCAGTTCTCCATTGTGGACATCCGCTTGGTGTCCAGGGAGGTCAGGTTTACTACAGGTAACATCATTTAATGTCTGAATATCCTAAAATGAAAACATAACCCTCAATGGAAAAAATATATATATAAGGTTGAGAATGTAATGTTTTTAGCTCAAACTTTTAATGTACACAAGAGCAAGAATCTTGGTGCAAAATTTCCCCAGATTCATTTACTGTGTATATATGCCATATTACTCTGAAGTAATGGCATGGGCAGCAGTCGTCCAATTTTTAAATGCTCATTTGGTAATGTTTATAGGACAGAGAAAGTGCAAAAGAAAAGCAGAAGCAGCTCGCTGTGACAATTCTCAGAGGGATGCTGGAGCTGCCTGCTGAGATAGGGGCTTGCAGAAAAATGTGCCGTGTTTGCGACTTTCTACCATGTTTAATTGGAATCGAACTTGTCCCTGGAAAGGAATCTATCGCTTTGGGGAAATTAACTGCTCCATCTGAACAAATGGAGAAATGACTACCCTGTGCGTTGTCAAAGTGCAGACTTTGGAAGTCTTGACTTGTGTTGACATTTCTTCTTTTTCTTTCTTTCTTTGTTTCTTTCTTTTTCTTTCTTTCTTTCTTTCTGATTGTTTTTCTTCTTTTCCTTTGATTTTTCTAAGATATCACTCTATTCTATTCCACCAGGTTCATATCCGAGGCTTTCATTGAGTTTCCGGATTAAGAGGAACATTGGCTATTTCATCTTGCAGACATATATGCCCTCCATCTTGATCACCATCCTCTCCTGGGTCTCCTTCTGGATCAATTATGATGCCTCTGCAGCTCGTGTGGCCCTCGGTAAGACACAGTCTCTGCTACATTATTAAACTTCTTACTGCCCCCATAAGAATCCACTCATTATCACAGAAACAAACAAAACACAGCTGTCACACGTGCAAATGTTACTACACACATCTTCTACATTTATGGGCGCAAAATAAGCAAGTAAACGCTGTGAACATGTAGCTGCAGGTTACAAGCAACTCTCTTTAATTTCATTTCGCTGTGTTTCTCATTTTGAATTTTCCTTGCCTCTGTTTGATGTTGCCACAAATTGGCTTTTGTTTTGAAAAGAAAAAAGAAAAATGGAACAGCAGGGAAATCCACACTGTAATCCACCCTAATATTTTAAATTGTGTGGGCTGATTAATAACCCTAAAAGAAACTTAACCAAGTGGTACTTCCACTCCTACTAGAAGTGAGTCTATGTCTAATTGTCCAAATAAATTATTTTTTTCCTAATAATGCCATCTCCAGATACCAGTTTTAATATTGGAAACTTTAATTTGTCAAAAGCAATAGCTTGATAGTCTCCCACATGTTCTGCTATTCTTGTTTTACTGCTGATGTTGGCATTGTATCTCTACTAGAACAAATATTACTTCTAATTACAGGGATTTACTGTAATGCAATATATTGTATTTTTGCGTTGCCGTAGAAGTTGCTATTTATATAATATCCCTAATAAATGTGGGTCTTGCATTTATGGAGGCAGACATCTTTGAGCTACGACAGGTAGAGCTGAAAAAGTAGTAATTGTAGAGATCGCTGTTATGCTCGAAATTAGGCCTGACCTAATATCCTACACAAACTAATAAAATACTATTTATAAAATGATCTATGTAAACAAACCTAAGCATTACTTGTCTAGATAGGTGATAGGGATGTTGCGGAAGACATTTTGTATCATGTCAGAGGTCATGAAGAGGGAGAGAAACAGTTCATGACGCTGCAGTCAATGTAGCAGAAAATGACCAACTTTTCTGTGGTGTTAAAAGACAACACAATTCTAAAGTTTCCTTTGTGTCTAAGTCAGGGATACAGTCCCTGGATTAAGTGTCTGCATCCCTTGAATTTGTACATCTGTATTGGTGATAAAGTTCAGTCCAAAAAACCCTTTGAATATAATAGTTTTTACAATTTAAGGCATTTGCTGTACTTCTCCTTCAAGCAGTTTTCCGAAAACGAAAACTCCATTTAGCTTTACTCTTTGAACTTTCCAAGTGTCCGATAATTTCCCACTAATGGCATGGCACCACTGATGAAGCAAAAAATCAAACTTTGGAACACAGAATCAAACCACCCTTAACAGATTTTGCTATTGTCCTTGGCTCTTGAGAATATTTTGAAATAAAGAAAATTCATCTTTAACCATAAATCTCAGATATTTCTACATGATGTTCCCATTGATCTAAAATACAGTAACACACTTTTCACATGTCTTAAATAAAACTGTCCTTGAAAAAGCCCACGATCACCCTAAGATGGTCAAACTCTGCTTCCGCATTCTAAACTAAAACAAATAGAAAATATTACATTACTCCTGTTTTCATAAATTGGCTTCAATGGGCTGTTTATTTCATAATTAATGGTAAAACTCTGACTTTAACCTATAGGGCCATGCTTGGTCAATTGTTAAACCCAATAAACTCAAGCCTTATGTCCTCAAACCAAAATCATACCATTATACAACATTATACGATTTATACAAGAGGGGATACATATTTCCTGTTACATTCCTTCTATTTACATTGTCAAGTGCATCATATTTGAGAAACACACCAAAAAAGTGATTGAAACATAATTTCTTTCTACAGTGTTACTGTATTTGCCTATAATTTACAGTATAAATATTTTTTGTATTTTAGCCCTTTGCTCTCTTGGTAAAGTGTTTTGTGGTTTGTATCTAATATCTTGATAGTTACCTTTGGGAAAATGTAAATGAAATAAGCTTTCAGGCTAAACTGTTAAAAAACTGTATTAATAAGCCATTTATAGCTTAAAGGAAAATATTTCAGAGAAGAAATGAAAAGCCAAAGAAATATGTGAAATAAACAAACAAAGACTACCAAGGCCATGAACTCTGTGTCTAACAGAGATTTATTTTTTGTTTGTTTGTCCCAAGGTGTGACAACGGTGCTTACCATGACCACAATTAACACTCACCTTAGGGAGACCCTCCCAAAGATTCCTTACGTGAAAGCCATCGACGTCTACCTCATGGGCTGTTTTGTGTTCGTGTTCCTGGCCCTGCTTGAATATGCCTTTGTAAATTATGTGTTCTTTGGCCGGGGCCCTGCACAACAGAAGAAAATCAATGAGAGATTGGGCAAAGTCAACAACGAGCGCACAAGATACGAAGAGAAGCGCCTGAGGGAACAGGTTTGCATCTTCCTTCTGCTGCTTCGCTCTCTCATTTTTTTGTTTTTTTTGTCTTACCTCTCTGCAGAAAACAAGTCTTTTCTACATATAAGATTTCTGACCATAGTCAATTTTCGTAAAACCACTTGTACAAATCTCCCCAAGTAATCCGCCACATGCATACTGATGTCACCACAGCCTAATATGCATTCAACCACCATCATCCATGGCTTCTCCCTAAAGCACTGACTGCTTTATATTGAGCAAAGACTTTCTCATTGAGATACCTATTCATCTAACTCAACGGTGGTGTAAACATTCTCATTTCTTATTTAGATTGTAGTCTATGTTGATGCTGTAGGCTTTATTCACTCTCACTTCACTACCTTGTATTTAAAGAAATTTTCCAGCAAAATCAAAGAAGGCATGAAAACATACAGAAATATAGTGATGGTAACTAGGGCGTTTTTCCCTAGCTGGTTGCTAAATGGGTGAGAATGAATGAAGCCCCCTCTCTGAATCTTTGTGTGAAGCTTTTAATGCTGTACCTTCTCAGAAAGTTTTTCCTGTTAACTGCCACTGTCCTACACATTGTGCAATTCCTGAGAACTATGATTATCTGTCTGTGTTTTAGTCGTTTTAATGGAGTTTTTTTGTTTCACTTTTCTTTCACATTGCAAGGACTCCATTTCCGTGCCGTTTCAAACCAACACCTTCAGGTCATTTACACAACGAAGAAATCTGTATCTCGAGGAACAAAGAAAAGTTGGGGTACATGTATTTACTGTAGCAATCCTATCAGTTATGGGTGTTATAATGAGTACTTTTCAGATTAAATGTCAATGTTTTACTTGTTAAAAATGCTAATGTTTGTATGTGTAAAGAAGCTAATTATTTATTTTGCATGCAAGAAATTGCATTCCATATCATCCCTGCATTTTGCTTAAGCTTGAGCAGTTAGGAGGGGGGGTTAGAATGTCATGTTAGAAGTTGTATGGGATTTTTTATGGGTGCTGCTGGATGTTTTTTCCTTCCTCTTACTTTGTGCGTATTTCCTTTCTTTGCAGGTGGATGCTTATGGAAACATCCTCCTTACAACGCTGGACATGAACAACGAGGTGATGCCTTCTGACGTGGGTAGCAGCATCGGTGACTCTCGGAATTCCGTCATGTCCTTTGACAGCTCCGGGGTCCAGTTTAGGAAACCCATGACTCCACGGGATGGCTACAGCCCCCACTCACTGGACCGAAGCGCCATGCGGAGCAGGGCCAACTGTCGGCTACGACGACGCTCCTCAAAGCTCAAGTTGAAAATCCCAAACCTGTCAGATGTTAGCACCATTGACAAGTGGTCCCGGGTCATTTTCCCTATTACCTTTGGATTTTTCAACCTAATCTACTGGTTGTACTATGTGAATTGATGTGCATCCCACTAGGAATCATGGGCCATATTTTGAGAGCACATTAAATTGGCTTTGATACAGTTCCAAAATATGTATACACATATACAAGTTGAACATATGTATATGCATATTTCCATATATTATATTTATATATACACATGTGAAATCTGAAGGACCTTTCTGCTGTACAGAGTATTACTAGGATGACTTGAATGTTTAAGAATACTTGTGCGAGAAGAATTTCAACGCCTTGAGTTTCTTTTTCCTCCTGAAACAAACATGTTCCCCATCAAAGGGGTTTTCGGAACAAAAGACTGCATGATATTTTTTGCTAAAAAAAGAAAAGAAAAGCAAAAAAAAAAAAAAAAAGATTAAAAAGAAAAAGTGAACGCTCTTGATAGAGAAAAGATGTCTCAGAGTTCCATTGACTTTTTATTGATACTTATCGTACTCAGAAATCCTCTTCAACAGCTTGAGAAATCAGCAGTGGCTTGTCTGTCCCGGCGTTGGCTCAGTGAGGTCTTTGGCACCACCTTTGATCCCCGCTCACCTTCTGCCATTACCCAACAGAATGACGTACGGAAACCTACAATTCTACAATGTACAGCGACCTTGTTTGGATTATGTGGTGTTCCTTGGCTTTTTTTTAGAGTGAATATTGTTCACCTTATCAGACATCAGGTGCAGCTAAATGGTCTCCATTTGGTTGGCATATTGATAGGTTATTAAACCGCTGCATTTACACCCACAGTTTAACCTTAAACTTGTGTTCCTGTTTTTCCTCTTTTTTTAAAAACATACCCTAGGTGGGATGTGGGTGGGAGTGGGGTTTTGGGAAGGGGAAAAAGATGGGGATTCCTTTTCATTCTAGTTAAAAGCAACCACTGCTTATTGTAGATATGATTTGTCTTTAAAAAAAAACAAACTGTGATTTCTAAGAGTGTCAGAACATGTTCTAGTGCTAGGGCATTATGAGGTAAAAGAGTCAAAAGTATGCATCGCTGATTTTGCTAAAAAAATATGGGAAAAATATTCTGTACATTTCAAATACTCAGCTTTCTCATGAACATAGCCTTGTGCTTTTTTTCTTTCCTCCTAAGTGTTGAATCACATTCTGCTTAGATGCAGGAGTTCATTGACGTCGGACCATGCTTTGTGTTTGCTACACAGAAACAAGGGGGGAGGGGTTGCTTTTGTTACTCGTTTAAAGTATTTCCTCTGTAAAGATATAAGATGTATATTCACAAAGATCCACCCATGTTTCTTTCAAGAGCCATCATTCGGTATATTGTATTCCTTTGTTTACGCTGCATTTTTTGGTGTTTAAGTCACAGTGTCTGAAGGGAAGAAGATTTTGAATTGAGATAGTACTGGGCACTCCGGGAAAGAGGCGTAGAGAGAAGAGGGTTTGTCATAGTAGCCTTATTCAACAGTTACACAAAACTCCATCAGGATTAGGAGGGACCTCTAGGGAAATCAGTCTGAGAAATAGCCATGAATTTAATGAAATTCTGACCAAAAGTGAATAGAGGTACCGGTACATAGTATTTGGTTATACTTACCTTTTTTTATGGGGAGGAAAGTCTTCAGTCATTTAACCCCTTCACCATTTCCTAGCTGTAATTTTTGGATGCTCAGTACACAAAAAAAAGGCTTTTTACATGATTGATTAAAAAAAAACTATTGACGTTTGAGCAGTTCTTACAATTGCTGACCAACAATACTCCTGTCTTTTATTTTTTTATTTAAATATAGCTTGGAGCTGAAAGTCTTTGAGAATTAAAGGCTTCCTTACCATCATTGTAGTATTCAGCCCCCTCTCCAGACTCTCTATCAGATTCTGGCTGGGCCATTATAATTATATTAAAATAATATATTAATTTTACCTTCAGTCAGAAAAAAATTGAGTACATTGAGTGAAACTATGGCTTTTTTGGCAGGGGAATAAGAAAATAAAGCTACAGTGAAAAGATAACCGATAAAACGTACCCATTGATTAAATGAAAGGGTTTCTAATATCTTGTTTACAGGTACTAAATAGAGGCATACATTTGTGAAGGGGTGAACTGGTGCTGAGCCAAAGAAGAATTTCTGATGGATACTACTGTGTGCTCAATCCGACGTCACTGTATAAGATTCTTTATTACATTTGAATGGAGAAGAACAGAGGCAGAGATTTTTTTTTCCTTATGCCAACCATAATTAAGTCCAAAAGCAAAAACAGAACAAAAAAACATCATGTCGACCAAATAACAGTGGCTTAGAAATCTTCCTCCAGGTATAGACTATATGAAGAGTATGAAGAATTACATCCTGGGAGAACAAGATAAAGATGGAAAAGCTGCAGATGGAGAAGCAGAGATATCAATTTATCAGATACATGCATTCTCCTTTAAAACACGGTATGCACAGGATTTCTTCTAAAAGGAATACTGATCACAAACCAGTGTGTCTTAATGACGTTTGTGCAGTGCTGTGGCCAGAAGTGTGGGTTTTGATTTGAGTATCTCCTTTTAAAAGAAATTCATGAAGCATTGTCACATTTTAAGCACCACCTTTAATTGTTCTAACATCCATGTACTTGAAATCAAAGGATCTATTTCCATGTAATTAGGAAATTGATTCAAATTTATTATCATACCTTCTCCAAGCAATTGGCAGGTAACACTCGTTAATAATGAAGTAGGGAATTCAAAGTTGGATTCAAAAGTAATGCTGAAATAAAACAAACCTTTGCCCAGTGCCAGATGTCCAAGCACTTTACTGATTCAACATAACGGTTTAATATCCCAATCATAAACTTCTTACAGAGGCTTTAAAGCTGTGACAAAATAGATCCACTTTTAACCTTCATTTCCCTCGCCTTTAAATATATTTTCTCTTTACCCCCTTTCCCCACAGTGAAACTCAATCTGCTGAGAGTACTTGGGGCATAAACACTTTACTCAGCCTCTTACACATATGCAGTAGTACTCCCCGACACCTGTAAACTCACTTCAGCGTTGCTGTTCCCCTTTAACTCATTATAGACATCCCTGTGATACGTATGCTGCAATTATAACTTCTGGCTTACAGAAGTTTTCTTATGGGAGATGCTCAAATGGAATCATTAATAGATGTGGCTCTCTTTTAGCCAGTTATTTGTTGCAATCAGATTAATGAGTGAAACGTGACTGTGTTTCCAAAGTATAGATTATGTCGAAATCGGTACACTTTATAAATTGTTAGATGTGGGTAACAATTTTGAGTTAGGGCTGTTTTAGATGGCCACATTTTTTTGTTTTACACCAGTGGAAAAAAATAGGTGTCAAATGTATACTATTTGTTTGGTTTTGTTTTGCAAAAATCAGAGTAACCCTGTTCTAATAAAAATATGATAGATCTTTATGAAGATTTTAGATTTAGAATATAAGGCCAGAGAATATTATTTGTTCCACTGCAAACCAGGCAGATATTACTGTGTTTACCTGCCTGCTCCGTGGTCTCAATGAGATGCACTTACAGTATATCTTTTTTCTAATGTAAACCAACTCAAGTATCAAACTGTTATTCAGGTTGGTGTTATTCCCAGAAATGAATGCCTTTTCAGGTATTTTACTTTTCAGATAGTACACTAAACACATGAGGGGTAAAATAAATCACTATCGCATCACTGTTCATTTCAACCACTACATGTATTACCAGCTTTCTGGACATGAAATTAGCACCTTCATCCCAAATGCTGTGAGGACATTCTGTTCTGAAACTTTTTCTTTCATATATTTGCTTATTTGGAGAGGATTTTTTTTTTCTTCCTTCGAACACTTGAGTTCAATAAGTAAAAAGGAGGGTAAAAAGTGTTGAACTGATTTCAATGTGAATTTTCTTGCCTCTAGTGTATATGTGTAATTACATGTGAATTGTACTGTAAATATATCTTTCACTTAATAGTTCTTAATGCATGAACAAAAACATAGCAGTTCTTAATACCAGCTAGCCTCACTGCTAATGGCATGGACAGTTTTTCTAGCATTGGCACACTTCTGCAAACGAAACCTTAACAAAAAAAGAATAAAAAACAGAAAAAAACAAAAGAAAGGAATACATGGTGTGAACAAAATAATGACGAAATTGGGACAAAGTTCTTTCGCGGTGATGGAGTGTCTAGCTTCATGAGGTTAACGCTAATGCTAACTGAAGCGGTCGTTAATTCCTAGCGAGTTTAAAAGTGATGTTCTGTTGTTTAGGCTTTGTACATTTATCTGTTTGTTACCTGATGTATTTTTTAGGAGATTCAGCACAGTCTACTTACCTCAGCCACTCACGAAGCACTCAGTTGTCTAAGAGTTTTATCAGAAAACATAAACAGCTAGCTATCTTACAATAGTCAGAGGAGCAGGGTTGCCTTAAGAGGGCGAGTGGGATGTTTTTTTTTCCTGTTCCTCAACAATAAAGTCAGGAGTGCCCTTGAGCAAGGCACTTTTCTAAATGCCCAGGCACAGCTGCTTGGAGTCTGTGCTATACTGTAGCAAACAACTATAGCTAGCATCGAGCATAGCTAGCAAGTCTGTGCTGGACTGTAGCAAACTTGAGCTTATTTAGATCATGATTAGCAAACTGTAGCCTGGAGAAATAAATCACATTTCCCTTAGTTCTAAAAAATGCAGACATTTAAATATAGAAAGTCGAACTAAACATTTCATATAATTTGTGCTCTTTTCTGTCAGGCAAATTGTCACCGGTGGATTCATTATTTTGTTCACACCTTGTAGGTTTTTGTTAGCATGACCCGAGTTAAAAAAAAAAAGGTTTATTTTCGTATATTTTTACTCTACACCATCCAGTTCATCTCCACAGCCAGGACAAAAAAAAAAAAAAAAGAAATATCCAGTGTTTACATGCTCAAATTGCACTTGTTTTACAGCCAGCTCTATAAATCTTGTGAAACAAACTATTCATAAAGCTGGAGGACAAATGTCACAGTGGAGCGCACATTTTGTGATTTTTTGATATTTTTTTTTTTTTTATGAATCACAGTTGTGTACTTCAACAAAAATGAATTTACTGTAAATCAGTTTAAACCAGATGCACCAAGTGCATGCTACAGTTTTATCAGATTCTGCTTAAGCATCTCATCAAACGCCCTTCAACTACAAAGGATGTAGAGGATGCTTTCCAACAGCGTCTTAACATATAAGCCATGTGATTGCACACTGAGTGGGTGTTCCCTGTATTCTCTCTTTGATAAGTTGCCTCTGGTTACGGCCTGCTGTCAGTTACTGTATGAGGGTGAATTGCAAGACACTGTGCCGATTCCCAGTTTCCCACACGTCAATATACTATACCTCCCTCTTTTTAAGACCCTTTCAGAAAGACTGTCTCATATTTAACCAGTAGGTAAAAAAAAAAGATTTTTTTTTTTCAACAGTTGCAATTATTTGGCAATGAAAAGAAAGAAGCCCACAAGATCAACACCTTGTTTATTTTTCAGTAAGAATTAAATGATTTTGTTCCTTTCTGTGTTAATTTTTAATTAATTGTATTTGTAGGATTTGTTATAAATTGTTATTCTTACTGTTGTTGTTTTAGTTTCATAAGAAGGAAATGTAATTCATCTGATATACGATATGGCACTGGAAGTGAAAAAAAAAATGCATTTTGTTTTTGTACTGTAATTGTTTTGTTCACATTGGGCGCTTATTTAATTCAGTTGTTCAATACAGTGTTTGATTTCATTTTGGGTATCAGTACTCATGGAACCAACATTTGTGTAGTATGAAGTTGTATTTTTATTTATTTTTATTTTATTTTTGTCAGTGCAATTTAATGTTATGGTGTCAATCAGCTTTTTTAGGTGTTTGAACAAAATGTGTTTTTTACAAATACAAAGTGTTCAAGTATGTGGTATAAAAAGGGTTATCATTCAAACAACCAACTTTTTACAATAAAGGCTTATACTATAAAGAAAGCTATTGTCTTTTCATATTCCCTCCTTTTTATATTTGTTTTTATTACGGGCTTATGTATTGCAATAAAAAGGGTTAAATTACATATATTGTTGCAGAAAGAGATTTTAAAATCAAGTGTTTACATAGCTGTTCTCAGTTGTACAGTGAAGAAAATAAGTATTTGAACAACCTGCTATTTTGCAAGGTCTCCCACTTAGAAATCATGGAGGGGTCTGAAATTGCCATCATAGGTGTATGTCCACTGTGACATAATCTGAGACATAATCAGGTTTCTGGGCTGTCCCTGAGAAACAGAGTGTGAGCTCCCTCCAAAGAATATCTATTGAGTTTAGGTCTGGAGACTGACAAGGCCACACCAGAACCTTGATATGCTTCTTACAGAGCCACTCCTGGGTTATCCTAGCTTTGTGCTTGGGGTCATTGTCACATTGGAAGACCCAGCTTCCACCCATCTTCAATACTCTAAGTGAGGGAAGGAGGTTGTTCCCCAAAACCTCACAATACATGGCCCCAGTCATCCTCTCCTTAATACAGCACAGTCATGCTGTTCCATTTGCAGAAAAACACCCCAAAGCATGATGCTACCAGTCCTATGCTTCACAGTAGGGATGGTGCTCTTGTGATGGCACTCTTCATTATTCTTCCCCCAAACATACTTAGTGCAATTATGACCAAAAAGCTCTACTTTGGTCTTATCTGACCACATGACTTTCTCCCACGACTCCACTAGATCATCCAAATGGTCATTAGCAAACTTAAGATGGGCCTTGATATGTGCTGGTTTAAGCAGGGGAACCTTCCATGCCATGCATGATTTCAAACAATAAATAAAATAATTTCCTTTCAAAAATTTCCCGTAGCCCTTTCCAGCCTTGTTGCGGTGTACAATTTTGTCTTTTGTGTCTTTGGACACCTCTTTGGTCTCTGCCATGTTAGTAGTTGGATTCTTACTGATTGTATGGGATGGACAGGTGTCTTTATGCAGCAAACGACCTCAAACAGTTGCATCTAATTTAGGATAATAAATTGAGTGGAGGTGGACATTTTGTAGGCAGACTAACAGGTCTTTAGGTGAGAATTCTAGCTGATATACATGTCTTCAAATACTTATTTGTGGCTTTACAATACAAAAAAATTGTTTCAAAATATATATTTTTAGATTATGTCTCTCACAGTGGACATACACCTACGGCTGACTATTTCAGACCCCTCCATAATTTCTAAAGTGGGAGAACTTGCAAACTAGCAGGGTTTTCAAATACTTATTTTCCTCACTGTATGTCAGAGCACTAACCTCTCAGTTGGTGTCTTGGTTATTAGAAAGACTGACAGAAACAAAACAAGTCACCAACCCAAAGAATTTAGGAATAATAATTGGTCTTTTCTCAAAATTTAGTGATAACACTTTTTATGTTTTTTGCAAAATACCCGCTATTATGTCATATTTCATGAATAAAGATGCAAAGTGACACCTGCAGACAAGTGTAATATTGGCCTCTTCTTTACATTAGGAACTTTTTTTACTGTTAAGATATAAAGAGTACATATTTTTTTTTAGCACAGAAGGGCAGGTTTGGGGCATTTATCATTCTTCAAACAACTTGATTATTCATCTCTTTGTTTATGCAACTAGAACTCTTGCCAGGACTTTCTGTCCTCTGATTCAGGACATGCTACTAAAAATGGTTACACATTTGGACCGTGTTTTCAATCTTTCCCCATTTGGCTATGAATGCTAGCAGATGTTTAGATGCCAGGGGTGACTCCAACAACCTCTAACTCAAACTATGGCTACAACCAAACTGTAGTGATAAGAATTAGTATTAATAATCTGAAAAGAAATATTAAATATGATGCATTTATAAGTGTTAAGAGACATAATTGTTTAATATGCTTCAGAGAAAATCTTTTTTTAAAAGGTAATAATTACAAGTAGGTTTGCACTTAAAAGGAATTTGACTTGGTGTTGATGGTGCAGACAAATTCGATATATAGATATATAGATAGATATATAGAATACAGAATCAGTAGCTATATGCAATATAAAACATACAATATACTAAATACAATATAAACTATATAGCCACTATACTATATACTATACACTATACTATATAAACAGTAGACTGTGCATTAATTTAACGCAGGAGGTCTGGAGATGCTATGTTGGTGTAGATTCTAGGTCCTGAACGGGGGAGGGAGAGAGGCAGTGTCAGTGTCTCAGAGGTCTCTGGGCCTTGTTGATAAGGCTGGTAGCAGATGGGAAGAAACTGTTCTTGTTAAGTGAGGTTTTGGTCCTGCAGCCTCCTGCCAGAGAGAAGTGACTGAAATAGTTTTTGGCTGGGGTGCGAGGGATCAGCCACAATCTTCCCAGTCACACCTCAGAGTCCTGGAGGCGTACAGATCCTGGAGAGATGGAAGACTGCAACCAATCACCTTCTGTGCTGACCCGATGACATGCTGCGGTCTGCCCTGTCCTTGGCGGTGGCACCAGTGTACCAGATGGTGAAGGAAGAGGTGAGGATGCACTCAATGATGGAGGAGTAGAAGTGCACCATCATTGTCCTTGGCAGGTTGATTTTTTTTCAGTTGCCACAGGAAGTACATAATCTGCTGGGCATTCTTGGTGAGGGAGTTGATGTTCAGCTCCCACTTTAGGTCATGTGAGATGATAGTTCCCAGGATATGGAAAGACTAATTTTTCAACATGGCATGATATTGCCTTTTTTTTTTTTCAAAACCATTTTTCTAAAGCATACATATATCACTTAAATTAAACTTGATATATATTATTATATTAAGTCAGTAAACTGATTCAAAAACCAACTTGTATAATATTTATGTTTAGAGCAACACTAAAACACAGCTCTAACTGTGACAAATAGGGCTGGACAAACATACCCACTTGTCATGGGTCTGTGAAAGTGTTTAAGTAAACGAAAATACTTTAAGCTCATTGTTAAAGAACTGCAGCTATTATATCTGAGTAAAATAGTAGCACCTGAAAAAGAAATGAACTAGTTGTTACTCTGTGTTAATACCTTTTCACTGTATATCTTTACAGCAATGCCAACACCACTGCACACTACATTATATCACCCTAAACTTTGTTTACCAGAACCCTCTATTTTACCCCGGCGGTCAGCTGCATGCTTTTTCACAGTCAGGTCAAAAAACCAGGCTGCTTATAAAATATCGAACTTCATGAAACTGGAAGCATTCCTCCTGTACTATAGAGGTATCCAAGTAATCAAAACCCACAGAGGCAAGATCAAAACAAATCAGGATTATTTTCTTAGATGATAAATCACGCTTCCATAATGCTGTATGAGGAAATACAGGAGCAGATTTTTATTCTTACAAGTTTTTCCATAAAGTTAATATCTTATCAACAGTTTCAGTAAAGAGATCAGCAGACCTTGACTAGCATTGCATCTGGTAAAAAAACAAACTTTGTTGATATTTTGTATATAGACCTGCACTTTTGTATTTACCAAAGCTTATCATGGTAATCAACGTTTTACTTTGGTCTTCTGTAATTTAAATAAGCCAAATTTTTCCTTGGCAGAAAGATCAAACAACAATTTCAGGGTTTTTCAACAAAAATTAGGTGCATAGGCAGATCTTCTCTTAATCATATACTGTAAGTTCTGATAGTATTTGCACCTCCACGGATATGCAATCAAATGTTCCCAAGTAAGCTTCTGTTTCCTGTTTATTGTTACTGTATACACACAGTCAAAGAAAAACATACAGTGGCCTATAAAGCTGCTCAAATTATTCTAACTTGTAAAGTAATGTGTTACATTTTAAGTTATGTAAAGGCATTACCAAAATAACAAAAGTAGTTAGATTACTATTAAAAATAATGCTGTTAATCCCAGCCATGTTTTTTTCTCACAGTCAGAAGCACACGCCTGAGGTCACCATATAGATCACATCCTCTCTCATGTTGCTTAGGCACATGAAAAGAAACGACCTTCAACTTTCACTTGCTCAGTTGTGGTCTGACTGTATAGCTGTCACATATAGTTTGTCTTGGCCTGTTTTCTGTGGCTGTTGATGTCCATCTCCATCATGCTTGGCGTCCACTAGTCACTGTGTGCTGTGTAATGATCTTCTTCTGACTTGTCCTCCCTCAGAAAATGTGAAGATTTAATGCACAGGTTTTTCTTCCCTAATTGATATCTTTTAATTAACCTTTTTTTTTTTTCAGCTCTGCGTTTACTTCAACTGCCGATTGCACTGAGCTCACCTTAAGAGGAGTAAAGGTTTATAAATACACTATATTGCCAAAAGTATTTGCTCACCCATCCAAATTATTGGAATCAGGTGTTCCAATCACTTCCATGGCCACAGGTGTATAAATTCAAGCACCTAGGCATGCAGACTGTTTTTACAAACATTTGTGAAAGAATGGGTCGCTCTCAGGAGCTCAGT